TGGAACATGAGGTCAAAGGGGGTCCACATACTGAATGAATGGAACATGAGGTCAAAGGGGGTCCACATACTGAATGAATGGAACATGAGGTCAAACGGGGTCCAGATACTGAATGAATTGAACATGAGGTCAAAGGGGGTCCACATACTGAATGAATGGAACATGAGGTCAAAGGGGATCCAGATACTGAATGAATGGAACATGAGGTCAAACGGGGTCCAGATAACGAATGAATGGAGCGTGAATGAAAAAAGTTAAAATGAATATATATACTAACCAATGGCCTGAAAAACTCAAAATTATTTATAGGTTTTCCATCAGATATAAAGTAAGCCTGTCCTGCCTGTAAAACAGCATTGCATTGAAGTTTAAAAAGATGAATAAAGTAACGTTTTGCAAGTTATAAATTTTAAACCAATATCTTAAAAACTCACTGCTTTAGGCATGTTGCCAACCAGTGCTTGACCTGCTAGTACATGTGCACTGACAAGATTGTCGACATGGACAAAATCCACCAAGCTGTTCTTACTACCATAAGTAAAGGCAAACAAGCCTTTCTTGATGTAAGACTACAAGATCAAAAACATATAGAAATATTTCCAAAAATATGATAATGTTCTGCCCTTTCAATGGAAGATGCTTTACCTTTCCTATGTGATAACACACCATGCCCTGCCCCTCTCCTCCATGATGACCCACCCTTCTCCTATCACAACATGCCCTGCCCCTCTCCCCTATGATACCACACCCTTCCCCCATCACAACATGCCTTTCCCCTCTCCTCCATGAAGTCCCACCCTTCCCCCATCACAACATGCCCTGCCCCTCTCCCCTATGATACCACACCCTTCCCCATCTATTGTCCATCATTCTTCTATTCAACCTTGTCTTCTCACCACTATTCTTGGAAGGTGTCGCTGTTCCCCTTCACCATAAATTCCAGCTGGTCTTAAGGCTGTTGTTCTTAAGATATTACCATCTGAGAATACAATAGCATTGAAAATGAGAACACTGATTACTTATTACAGTTGATGGTAGCTGAAACCCAGAAAAAAAACCTTTGCTCAAAGAAGAGATGTCTCAATGACCTCTTCTCGCATATAATGCCAAGTCCAGGACCCAGGGGGGGCCTCCCTTATAAAAGGGGGCAGGGGTCCTCATTGTCCCTTTTAGGGTTTGAAATCAGGGTTTTGGTCCTGCTCAGGGTGATAACGACAGGAATGCACACCAAACGGAATTTCGTGGTCCCTTTTAGGGTATAAGATCAACCCCTTAGGGGTGAAATTTCATCACTGCCACGCCCATCATCCCAAAATACAGGTCCCTTTTAAGGGTAATTTTTGGAATTTCCGACGAGGACCCCGCCCCCTTTAATAAGGGAGTCCCCCCGGGGTCCAGGAATCAAACCTGAGACCCCAAAGCTGGGAGGTGGTATGTTAAGGCAAGTGCCAAAAGAGCAAATGCTGGAGCAAAAAAAATAATCCTCTTAACCCCAGGATACAACATAAATGAATCTTGTGATGTTTCAAAAGGTATAAATTGATGAACTGACCTCTTAATTTTGTATTATTTGCCTTCAAAATACTTTGTTCAGCAATTGATTTTGTCCTTGAATAATGGTCTGTATGCTAAAGTATAGAACAATAAAAGAACTTCCTCACACTTCTGAGACACAACAACAAGTACATACGCATACAGTACACAACCAAAGTTTTCAGCAATTGAAAAATATCTATACTCCCCATGGAGAGGGATTGGAATATCCCAGAGAAATCTGAAAATATCCATACCTCCCCCATGGAGGGTGATTAGAATTTCCAAGGTGTGGGGAGGGTCTGAGGAGGGTATATTGTGTAGTACCAGAAAATATCCATGCCTCCCCCATGGAGGGGGATTGAGATTTCCAAGGGGTGGGAGGGTCCAAGGAGGGTCTGAGGAAGGTAAATTGTGTAGCACCAGAAAATATCCATACCTCCCCATGGAGTGGGATTGAGATTTCCAATTCAAAAACTCTATTTCTATCAGTATTTTGCATTGTTTGCATTGAAATACACTGGGCAAACCAACTATCGGCAAATCATTGACAATGCCTTAGTATCCAATCACCTGGTCCATAGGTAGATATGGTAACGACTCATTTCCATTTCTTATTTCATCATGACCAAATACAACATTATAGGTACTTGTGTAGACAAGATGTGGTACACTATTGGTATTACAAGCTGTGCAACAAGACAAAGAAAAAGTTCAAAACTACAACAAAACAAAAAGCTCAGAAGTTTACTGTTTATAGCCAACTTTCATATGCTAGTTTTTGATGCTAACAATGTGTGCATAAAAAGCAAGAGTTTGCCTTGAGTTTGTGTATAATAGTCAATGGAATTTCAAAGTGTTTGTATGTTTAAAGTTGTGTTTCTTTACTTTACCATTGGTATTTTGTGAATATTTTTAGACTAATTCACAGTTTTAATATACTCCTTCAACTCAGAACATATACAAACCTTCAAGAACATTTTTTGTTCCTTCTACGTTCACTTTCTCGATGAGGTCTTTGTTCAACTAGATAGTATGCAAAAAATTACAAAAAGCAAGATATTTGAAAATATAGATTGGTATAGTGGAGGGCAATAAGAGGGCATGCCTTGGATATAATGATATCAAATAAAGACAGAACTTCTTTAGACACAGACAGTAATAATGGCACTTATAACTGCACCTATGGATATATTGATATCCTCTATCAACCTTTCCCCTACACAAAGATCAGGGACCGAGAGTTCATTGCATAAAATAGCTACCCATGCCCCCTGTCTCTCTACTGATACATGGTTCTTCTTCCAGCCTAGTGAACAAGAAGCATACAATAAAAACGTACTAATAAAAGGCACTCTCTTCTYTCACTTGCAAATAAACTCTGCTAAATGATATTAAAAATATCAATAGGACCAAACAAAAAATAAAAAATAAGTGTGTTTCCAGTTGCATGAGAAAAATAATTGGGGTTGGTATGCCGGATTTTTTTTTACTGATACAACAGTTGAAATGAGCTTACTGGGAACCCTGTGGTACATTTGGGAATGAAAATTAGGGTCTGTTGCGCAACAGGAAACACACTTATTTTTTGACCTAATTTTTTGTTTGGCCAAATCATATCGGCATGTGGCAGAGCTGGGGGTGTGTAACACCTCCAATTCTTGAGCATCTACAGTAACTTTGCATGTTGTGTTGAAATTGATGAAATTATGTAAACATGGACAATTTCACAAGAAACATGCAGGAATAATGTTCATTAAAGCGAATGGCCTATGAAGCTTAAGGGTCTATTTTCAATCCTTTGACTGGAAATTAAACTGTACAATGTTTATTGGAGTGAAAGAGAATGCTTTTAGGAGGATTTGAGAATATCATTATCAGATACCATGCATCATGTTTGAAATGTTGATTAAGATGTTGATTTTTACGGAGGGAGAAAACCCTTGTAGCATAGGAGAGAACAACGAATCAAACAAACTCAATTCACATCTGGCAACCACAGGGCTTGAACCAGTGACCCGACACTCACAGCGGTGAAAGACGACGTGTTAACCACGAACACCACCCATGCTACCCACGTTTTGAACTATTCTTTTCCTCTATGTACACAGGAGTACTAAATAAGCTAAGATACCTGTTCACGCCCTGACATGCCATAAGAAGCTGAATGAAAGACAAACTTGGCTCCTTTTAAAGCGGTTTCAACATCATTCTTGTTACATATGTTTCCCTATCCAAAAGATACAAAATATTAAGAATTATTTTTAGGGTTGATACATTTAATCTTATTGGATCTGTGAGTAAAATGATAGCTCAATCTGTGAGTTAACCATGCTCTGACTTAAATAGACCATTTCACAGATCCCGCAGCTCAACCTCAACCAGCTTGTAATATATCCTTTAGAAATTGCCTACAACCTGTGAAATTTTTAAGTGTTTCAATTGTTCGTTGATGTGTAAATTCCTTTCATTACTGCGGACTGTAGTCAAATTCTAAAGAATAATTACACGCTGACGAGGCTGAGGTTGAGTAACGGGATCCGTGAAATGGCCTATTGCATCAGGCCAGGAAGAGGTCATATTATATATATATATTTTTTTAATATTACCTTCAAACATGTCAGTCCTTCGCTGAGGTGATCTAATTCTTTAATGTCAAAAAGCACAACTTCGGCTCCTGTATCTCGTAAAGCACAGCCGAGTTTATATCCAAAGTATCCAGTCCCTCCTGTAACTACTGCCTTACTACCTTTATAGATATTGCTGTCCGCCATATTGATGTCCAAAAACCGCAGGCGTTCCTCAAAGCTCAAAGAGGGAAACACACAGGTAGCCCAAGCAATATATCTGTGCTGCCTTCCTGGGTAGTATTTAGAAACGAGCGGCTCTTTTAGGAGCCACCACTTGAAAGATAGTAAGACCAATATGTATGCTTTCAGTTGTATGCTTGCGCTAAGGAAAAATATGCTTGAAAAGGGTTCATGCGATAAGAAGTAGATCAAAACACAACAAACAACATCAAACGACTCTCCCCCCTTAATTCCACCAGCCCCCTCCCCTCCCCCCGCATGCCTAAAAAAATGCCGACCTGAGAATTACAGTGAACCAAATTTTAGTCCACAGTTGAAAATTTGAAAGACAACAAAACACATTAATGGCATGATTATCTAATAATAAGTTACGTTTATTTTTACTATAATTGTCGACTATAATTGTGATAAAAATAAGACGAAAACCGCGAAAAACTTCTGAAAACTTTTCAATAATTAAATAAAACCCATTCGAAAGTAAAGCCTTTGAATATCCTCACGAGCTTATTGGATTTAAAAGTTTGATTGACATTTGATTTGACATAATGATCTTCATGTCACACCTGATTGGATGAAATAAAATTTAAAAAATTCTTTGTAAACCAATTACAATGAAGTTAACTTGCACTAATTAATCCTATTGGAATATTTATCATTTGATTGACAGCTCAAATGATACCACATGTTATTAGCCAATCAAATCATTAATTCAATTAAGTATATCTCTCCCTATTGGTTGAATTAGTTCGATTGACAGCTGAGTCACGTGGGAATGAAGTACAAAAATTTTGGCGCGAATAATTTCATTCTCATAACCGAGTCGAATTACAGTGTAACAGGTATGTATTGCTTTTTCCTCTTGAAAAATTCTTTAAATTTGATGATTTTTCCAAGAAAAGTTATTAATTTGCTCACGAAATAAGAAGTTTTTTTTAAACCAACCTTTATTGCATTAGAGTTTTGCAAATTTTTGCTTCAAAACTCATGGAAATATTTTTTCAAAACGCCACGTCGGCTGACTGAAAGTCGCCGTAGCGTGTAAAAAACCTAATTTTTCAAAGTTTAGTTCACTTTTAAAGACAAGAAAGCAAAGCTGTTGACTATCTTGCGTGTTTTAATGTATTTTAGAGCAGAATTATCGTGATTTTTTAGTATTTTTTGGTTTTCATTCATGCGGATTTGAAACGCGTGCAAAGCTGGCTGAAGTCAAAACGTTCATAATTGATGTCTTTTCGTACGATTTTGTTCAATATCTTCTAATTTATTGCTCTTTTTATCATATTATTTAGACTATGACAGTTTTTCTTACAGTTTTGGATATTTTTTTTACTTGAGAAAGTTTCAATTCTTCTTTTCGCGCGCTTTCGACCATAGTTGAAAATTGACTAAAGTAAGCTTCAATGTTCGAGCAAAATTAAACTTTTCTGGTTTATTTAGCGAGAAAATCAATCATTTTAGTTCATTAATCTTATATCTTATTCGAATTTTTCATTTTTCTTAAATTTTTTGTGAATTTGTCAAAGTTTAATATTTTCGCGCGCTTTCCAAGTTGCGAGATAAAGTTGCCAAATATATGACTTCTAAGTAACGATTTTACTTTATTGCCACTGATATTGGGAAAATTAATCTCGATTTTAAATTTTTATTTCATTTTTAGGATTATTTTACCAAATTTTAGGATAGTTTTGGACAAGTTTTTATTTTCGCGCGCTTTTCATTTTTATTTGGAAAAGTCGACGACGAGAACATTCGAATAAATCAAACCATTTCTTATCAATCAGGATATAGTTCTTTCTACAATCAGTATACTTACACATATTTTCTACTTTGCAGATCATTATTGGAAGAGGTTATATAGAGTACTTAGAAGCAAGAAGAAGCCTACCGTGTATTGTAAGAATGAGTTGTTGGAAGATCTTAAGAACAAGTTTATAAATTTTGCATAACAATTTCCAGCATTTCGTTTTGGCTGCTTTCTTGTTCTTGATTTTCTCATTGTTGCATTGCATTAAGATGAAAATAGACTGGGAAAAAGCAGTTCCTAAATCAAAAAGGAACTTGTTCAAAGAATCAGCTAACTAGGTTAGATGTTTGACTTGCAAACATTTGTGAAAATATTCTGTTATCATTTACATTGATTTTGGCTCTTATGTTGCAAGTCAAAATATTCTGCAATGCTTTGTTGTTGTTTTTTTTTTGGTCGATCTAGAAAGTTTTTAGGATAGTAGTAAGAGGGGACCAGATGCAAGGCTGGTTCTAGGGATTATTTGTTGACAAGAAGCTACCACTATCTCAAAATGACTAGGAGGGGTATGGCGGATTATTAGTGTTTTTGACTGGTCATCTCGACCAGGGTCAATTGGCCAATACTAGGTTAGCTTTTGAAATGAAATTTAGTCATCAAGTTGGCAACGCTAAACGTCGATGAAGACACAGGATCTACACATATCAGGTGTGAACTTTAGTTTACTGGAGTTCAGGCTTACTTGAGTAACGCTGGCCAGTACAGATCACTCACTCCCCTCACACAGCGCCTAGGGTTAGAAGCTTTCTATTCTTAAGGTTAGACTGGCCAGTTGCGTGCTCTCGTAAGACTAGGTACAGTCAGGATAACCCGACGGATTAATGCCCTCGCTCCTCCCCTGATGGTTGTGAAGAAATCCTGACTTGCTGCTCCAGTGTAGTCTTGCTTTTCAGTCGTGGCTCAAGTCTACCAAGAACAGCCAAACTCGGCTGCCTCTAGAAGAGAAGACGAGTCTGCGATAGATTTCTGTTTTATCATGCATCGGGCATGCCAGTGGTAGCTTCTTTAGGATAGAATTTTCCACAAAACTAGAAA